CAGGTCGGGGGGGGGGGGGGGGGAAACGTTTAGCTCAGAATACCGTAAACCAATACAGAATACAGAATTTCAGCAAAATAGAGACAATGGATTTCAGGAAGGCGGATTTTGGTAAGTTCAGAGAGCTGATAGGTAAGGTCCCATGGGAATTGAGACTGAGGGGAAAAGCAACTGAGGAGAGTTGGCAGTTTTTCAAAGGGACATTGTTAAGGTCCCAAAAGCAAGCTATTCCGATGTGTCAGAAAGATAGAAAATATGGCAAAAGACCGCCTTGGCTTAAGCACAAGATCTTGCATGATCTAAAAATAAAAAAGGAGTCATATAAAAAATGGAAAGTAGGACAAATTACAAAGGATGAATATAGGCAAACAGCACAGGAATGCAGAGGCAAGATTAGAAAGGCAAAGGCACAGAATGAGCTCAAACTAGCTACGGGAATAAAGGGAAACAAGAAGACTTTTAATAAATACATTAGAAGCAAGAGGAAGACCAAGGAGAGGGTAGGCCCACTGGTCAGTGAGGAGGGAGAAATTGTAACAGGAAACTTGGAAATGGCAGAGATGCTCAATGACTTCTTTGTTTCGGTCTTCACTGAGAAGTCTGTAGGAATTCCGAACATAGTGAATGCTAGTGGGAAGGGGGTAGTTTTAAAAGGTAAAATAAAAAAAGAACAAGTTAAAAATCACCTAGAAAAGTTAAATGCCTGCAAGTCACCAGGGCCTGATGAAATGCATCCTAGAATACTCCAGCAGCTGATAGAGGAGGTATCTGAGCCTCTAGCTGTCATCTTTGGAAAATCATGGGAGACAGGAGAGATTCCAGAGGACTGGAAAAGGGCAAATATAGTGCCCATCTATAAAAAGGGAAATAAGAACAACCCAGGAAACTACAGACCAGTTAGTTTAACTTCTGTGCCAGGGAAGATAATGGAGCAAGTAATTAAGGAAATCATCTGTAAACACTTGGAAAGTGGCAAAGTGATAGGGAACAGCCAGCATGGATTTGTAAAGAATAAATCATGTCAAACCAATCTGATAGTTTTCTGTAATAGGGTAATGAGTCTTGTAGATAAGGGAGAAGCGGTGGACGTGGTATACCTAGACTTTAGGCTTGCCACTCGAGGTGGTGACTTTTTTAAAATAACTTTGTCACCGACCCCCCAAAAAAGATTTAAAAAAGAAAAGAAAAACAAAAGAAAAGAAAAAAAAATCTAATGGGAAGCGACTGTCTGGGAAGGAACATCTTCTGCTGTTCAAGGAGATCTGAAAGTAACTAAGTCTATTGTGCAGTAGTTAATGACAGAGGCACTTACATCTCAATCACATGTCCACAAAGACAAGACAAGCTGTATGATATTGTTTCTTCTTGTTTAAAAAAACCCACTATCTAAATCTTATCACTGAAATTGATAGTGTTTACTTAAACCTTATTCCAGCTTTGCTGACTTCAACAGATATTGAAGTCGCTAATAAATCTATTTCAATGGTTCTTTACAACTCTTTTCGTTTTCAACATGCACTATGGCCTCTCTGATCTATATCTCAAGACCACATTTTTGCTTATAAATATCTAGATGTTTTGCTGCTACTTGCTGCAAAGTCTGGAATGAAACTGAACAGCAAGTAAACAGAGTGGAAAATGAATTTGATGTAGTGTCCCCCCCCCCGTTTCTCTTCTTTCTGTCAGAAGGCAGCAGCACCAATCTTGACATGCATCACGTTCTTTCCACAGAAGGCAACTTGTCACAAAAGCTAAAAGCAGGAAGCTGTTTGGAAACGAGCACAGCCTACTCTCATGCTGCTACTCGTCATGCTGCCTTGCTGTTGAATGCTGGCAAGAAGATGGCTTCCCAATCAATGCCACTGGTTCTTATGAAGAGCGTGATTCAAGCAGCTAAGTGTAGTATATAGCAGTAACTTTATTAACACGATGCACTTATGAACAGCAGCATAATGTATATGCTGACAGGGCACAATTTGTAGCCACTCTATGCAGATGGGGGAGAGCTCTCCCATCAACATCATTAAACCACTTCCAACGAACACCAGTAACTATGTCGGCAGAGGAACATCTCCCACTGACATGGTGCTGTACACACGGGTGCTTCGGTCCATGTAACTTACATTGCTCAGACAAATTTTTTCATGCCCACAAGCAACAAATTATACAAACAAAAGTGCTAGTGTAGACATAACCTTCGGCCAGATCTGGACTAGTGGACAATGTTAAACTAAGGCTAAGTCCACGCTATAGGTACACAATTCCAGCTACATAAAAAAACGTAGCTGGTGTTCATATACATTAAGCCACACTTTAGCGCCGCCCTCACAGCAGGAAGTCCATGGGAGAAACACGCCTATCAACTTCCCTTGATCCTTACGAGGAGCAGGAGTTCCAGCCTCGAACTAGACTCACTAAATCGAACTCCAGAAGATGGACTGCTGTAGTGTTGATCTTCCAGACTGAAGCGCCTCCTTGGATTGCTGGGTTAGTCAGCGTCTGTTCTCTGATTGGGGCACAGCACATGCGAGCCTCCTCCGCTCTCCTGCCACCGCCTCCCCAAGACAGGCAGGGCACAGCCCTTAGCCGCCTCCTCCTGGATCCCTCAGCTACCCGCCTGCCCGTGCACAGCCCTGAGCTACTTCCTCTTGGGCCCCCCTCCTAGCCCTGCCCATGCACAGCTGCTAGCTGAGCTCTGCCTGCACTCTGATATACACCCCGGCCACTCGCTGCCTCTAGCTCCCCTCCCAAGTACAGGAATCAAACTGTACTTATGCCTGCTGCTTGGAACGGAACTCCAAGG